TGTTTTTATTTATTCATTTCCCCTTATTAATGTAATTATGAATTTTCCTACCCTCTCATTTCAATGTTAAAAGCTAATTCAAAAGGCCACCAATTATAATTATGTTGGAGTTCTTACACTACTAGGTAATGCTGGATTCATTATGAACTTATCTCATAATGAGTTAGGGTTCATACTGCTATGAAGAGACACCATGACCATTGCAATTCTTACAAAGGAAAACATTTAAATTGGCTATCAGTTTCAGAAGCTTAGCCCATTATCACCATAGTGGAACACGATGGCATGCAGGCAGATATAGTGTTGGAGGACTTGAGAATTCTACATCATGATCCAAAGGCAACAGAAAGTGCACTGAGACACTGAGTGTAGCTTGAGCACATAAGAGACCTCAAAACCTACCTTCACAGTGACAACTTTCTTCAACAATGTCATACCTACTCCAAAAAAAGCCACATCTCCTAAGAGTGGCATGCCCTATGAGCTTATGGGGGCCAATTATATTCAAACTACCACCTTCTACTCCTTGTTCCCCATGAGCCTGTAACCAAATGCAAAATGCATTTAATGCAATTTCAGAAGACCACAGTCTCAACAAAATTGTAAAGTTCAAAGTCTCTTCTGAGATTTATGCACTCTTTTATCTATAATTCCCTATAAAACAAAAATTAAAAAGGTCACATATTTCTGACATATATATACACAGGATATATATTCACATTCAAAAATGTAGGGAGCAGAGCACAGTAAGGAAATAATGGACCACAGCAAGACAGAAAACAAGCTACGCAAACCCCTACGATGTGTCCCCAAGTCTAATATCAAGATGCTCTTTAGATTTCTAATTCTTTTCAGTTTTGTTGACTGCAACACACTTTTCTCTTGGGTTGATCCCTGTTCCTAGTTTTCCTCAGTAGGAATCCCATGACTCAGACATCTCCAACATCATGTGGAGGCCAAAGAAACCAGATTTTACCTTCAGTTTCATTGACTGGCATCTCTAGGCCTCCAGTCAGGAACACCCGAGACACGTACCTGGCCTTAGTGGCTTTCTTCAGAAGTTCCTTGACTGTAAAGTCAGAACCATCTAGTTAAATCTGCCAAGCTTTGTGGTTTGCTGGAGTTGGAATATGGCTCACCAGCTCAATTACTTCACCAGCTTTGTTTTCCATGGCTTCCTTCACTGTCTAATTTTGGCTGTCCTAGAACTTGCTCTTTAAACTGGCCTTGAACTCAGAGATGTTTCAATAACATTTCACCAGCTTTATTTTTGATGATTTCTTTCACTGCCAAAGCTTGGCATTCTGGAACTTGCTCTGTACACCAGGCTGCCCTAAAACTCGGAGATCTGCTAGATTCTGCCTTCTGAATCCTAAGATTAAAGGCTTGAAACACCACACCAGGCTCTAAGATTTTCTTTAATTCCTTTTCTCAAATTGGAACCATAGCTGGGTGGGATCTTACTCTAACGTCACTACTCACTTTAGTCCATTTATTAATCCATTTATTTCCTAGAACATAGGCCTCACTGTATTCCACTTCCTGGTGCTCCTTTTTTCCTCAAATTGTAGATTTTTTTTTCTCGTTCAGGTTGTTCTTTTTCATTACCAATCTTCATTAAAGTTTACATGATGGAGTCAATTCTAGGCTGTTTTGAAATTTCCTCTGCCAATGAAATTATTCTAAATCTTTTTTACTTTAGCCTCAGGCAGATTCTTCAAATAAGGGCAAAAAGCAGCCACATTCTTCAAAAAAGTATCACAAGACTGGCCTTTGGCCACATACAAACATTCTTTTTCTCAGAACCCTCTTGAGACAGGTCCCCACAGTTCATCAAATCACATGCAGCACCACTGTCTTCCATGCTCCTACTAGCATGGCCCATTAAGCAACACTTACAGCATTCTACTATTTTTCCTAACCCAAACACCCAAAGTTCAAATTCCTACAAACAAAAGCATGGTCAGGCCTGTCACAGCTATATCACAGTATCTGGTACCAACTTCTGTTTTAGTTAGGGTTTCTACTGCTATAAAGAGACACCATGACCGCAGCAACTCTAATAAAGGAAAACATTTAATTGGGTGGCTTGCAGTTACATAAATTTAGCCCATTATTACCATGGTGGGTTATTGTGGCACACAGATATGGAACTTTACATCCTGCACCAAAGGCAACAGGAAGTACACTGAGACACTGGGTATGGCTTAAGCATATATGAGATCTGAAAGCCCACTCCCACAGTGAAATACTTCCTCCAACAAGGCAACACCTTCTCCAAAAAAAAAAAAAAAATCATAACTCCTAATAGTCCCACACCCCATGAGCTTATGTGGGTCAATTACATTCAAGTCACCACAGATCCTGTTTCTCTTACCTAGTATTACCCAAAGAGGTAGGGAGATAAACTTAAGTGAGGGAGGAATGGGGAAGAACAGACAGAAAGAGTAACGATAGAAAGCAAGAAAGAGAGACGGGGTTCTTTTCTCCTTCAAATGTTTCTGTAAAGATCGCAGACTTATTCCCAAAACAAACTGAAATGACTGCTTGGTACTTCAAATTGTGAAGTATTCTTTTTTTAAAACCCAAAGGAACACTTAAAATACAAATTCCAACAACTATTTATTTATTTTCAAGACAGGGTTTCTCTGTAGCTTTGGAGCTTGTCCTAGAACTAGCTCTTGTAGACCAACAGACTGACCTCAAAAATCAGAGTTCCACCTGCCTCTGCCTTCTGAGTGCTGGGATTAAAGGCATGCACCACCACTGCCCAGCTCTACATATTTTCTTTTGCTTATTATGTGAGACTTGTAAGGACAATGCTTTCTTCATAGACAACTAAATTGCTCCAAGTGGGGAAGAAACAAATACATGTATTGATTAGGGATGTTCACTGGGTAGAAGCTTATGTAAGGACACAAACTCAGTGACCTTAAAGTATTTAAATGGTACTATGACCCAGGGTATCTTTTTTCTCTTCATTTTAATTTACAGACACTACACTTTTAAAGAATGTATGGCATATGGAGGCACACACTGAGCTCAGTAGCTTCAGATCCCTATGAGCTGGAATTTTAAGTTGGGACAACCTGATTTTGGTGCCAAAATCCAAACTCCAGTCCTCTGCAAGAGCAGCAGTACATGTTCTTAACAACTGAGCAATAGCTTTTGCCTTTACACTGATTGTACAAACTGAGTTTGTGGCAGCCCTGTTCTGAGTGGGTCTGTGCATGCTATTGAAAACTAACTTAATGTGTTTGTGCCACAACTGGTGATTCTCTTATCTCTAACCTATTTTTGAGACAGGGTCCTTGTTTACCAGACTGGGTACAAACTCTACATATCCAACAATAACTTTGAACCTTGCTTAGATTATAGTTGTATGATACTACACTCAGGTTATGAAGTGACTAGTGACAGAACCCAACATTCCCTGCATGGCAGGCAAGCACTCTATCAACCAGTTTCATCTTCAGCCCTTTAAAGTTTACATTACATGTTATGATTTTTGATCTGAGTATTATGACAATTGTTTGAGGCACCTTAAATTTCACTGAAAGATGTGCAGATTGTTCCATCAACCAGTCATTGCACATCTTTCCACCTTACCCCATTCCCCAGCCTGTTTATTCAGAAACATGATATTGAAACTGGTTTCACAACCCTCAGAATCTTTAATTGTCAAAGTGAAAAAGTCACATAACACCCACTTTAATTAAAAGCTAAAAATGGCCAGTCTTTAAGAGGAAAGCATACGGAAAGCCACAATAGGCAGAAAGTTCGATCAACACACAACAAATGTTAAGCCAAGCTGTGAATGCAAAGGTAGTTCTTGAAGGGAAATTAAAGTGTTAGTCCTGCAACTTTAGAAAGAAAAACAGCCTTGTTGCTGATTTGACAAAAGTTTTATCATTGGGACAAATGACCAAAGCAGCTATATTTCTCTTAGACAAAATCTAAGCCAGAAGAAGGCCTTACCCTTCTCTTCAATTCTATGAATACGGATGGATGAGGAATCTTCAGAAGAAAAATTTAAAGTCAGGAGAGCTCGGTTCATGACATTTAGTGGAAATTATATCCATGACATAAAAGTGAGAGGTGAAATAGCAAGTGCTACTATAGAAGCTAATGCAGGATCCTTAAATCTAGCTAGAATAACTGATGGTAGTGGTTACATTAAACAAGAAATTCAATACATACACTTCTATTGAAAAATGATGCAATCCAGTATGTTCATAGCTGCAGAAAAAACAGTGCCATCCTTCAAAATGTGAGTTTCAAAGCATAGGCTGTATGTAATTATGTTCTGTGCCTTTAAGAGACAAGCCACACCCAATCCCTTCCTATTTGCAGTCTCCCTCCCACCCCATCTCCTCCTCCCTCCCTTTCTCTCACTCTCTGAGAGGCAGGTTGTCTCTCCTCTCTCTCCCCCTTTCTGCCCTTTTTCCTTCCCTTCCAAAACCACTAAATATCCAACCTCACTCTACATGTCCTGCCTCTCCATGTCTCTGTCTCTTGCCTACCACATGTCTCCCTGCTAGAGACCAGCCACTGCGCTGGGACTGAGAGCCATTTAAACATCAATAAATGATTGAGACTCTCTTTCAAACTTAAGGTGATGAAACAGCTGCAGGGTTTGTGAGATTAATTCCCAGTCTTCTAGTTCTCCTTTTAGTAAGATGCTATCAAACAGCATTGCAGCAGCAAATTATCTGATGTAAAGATCCATCTATATGGTAAACTTCCATTCTGAAAAACTATAATCACCCAACTTTCAGTACTTAACCACCCTGGGCAATTAGCAGCCATAAATACTAAGGCACAGTCATCCCCAGGAAAACCAACTGAAAACCAAACCCCCAAACATATGCCCTACAGGTAAGATGAACAAAAACATTTTTATCAATAGCATTTTAAAATAAAGTATATATACAATATTTTCGAATATACTATTCATCTTAGGGTTTTTATTACTATGATAAAACATCACAACCAAAAGCTTTAGGGAGGAATGGGTTTATTAGGCTTACAGGTTATAGTCCATTATTAGGGAAGCCAAGGTAGGAACTCAGAGGAGGAACCTGGAGGCAGGAATTGAAGCAGAGTTCCCTCTAGCTTGCTCATCATGCTGTCTTATGTGCAGGAGAGGAAATACCCACAGTGGGCTGGGCCCTCCCACATAATCACTAGTCAAGAAAATGGCCCACAAATTTGCCCATAGGCAATATGATAAGGGCATTTTTTTAAACTGATGTTTCTCTTCCTATATATGCATAGCTTGTTTCAGGTCGAGAAAAAACCCACTAAAAGTAAGAAATAAATAAATCGGGATACTGTTACAGTAACTATAGAGTAAACATAATTTTCGGATATACCCAAAAACCAAAAATAAAAAAAAAAATCATTTACTTCATTATTGTAGTCCAGATTCCTACCTATGCTTATGCAAGCAATCCTAATAAAACGTAGTGGTAAAAAAAAAAAAAAAAAAAAAAAAAAACCTTAGTGATCATTTAAAAAAAACTGTCAAAAATAAAGTAAAATGCTTGCTCAACATAGTATTCAAAACTTACTACTTGGTACAGAATTTAATAGTATCTACTATGAAGAACCACCTAAACATACCTTTGCACAGACACCTCAGTATTTCAAAGAAAACCCCCAAACCAAGCCCTGACAGCAAGCAGACATTTCTCTTATGTCTCTATCTCAAAATCATCCTAATTCCAATCTAAAATACTTATAATATCAATGGGAAAAACTGTCGACAGATTTTCTTTTTGAACTGTTCTCAAATACTTTGTTATTTACGTCTTTTATTGTGCAGTGACATTTGGAGGGGAAAGGTAACTCTTGCCTCTTTGGTACTACCCCAGTTGTGAAAGACACAACCAGGAAGACAATCTTTTTGCTCCATCACTGCGCTGATGAACCATAAAAGCAAACCCACAGGGTTGGTCTCAAGGCTTACTAACAAAATAACAAATTAGCAGCTATCACTCAGTGAAGAATTTACAGACACTGTGGAGAGCACAAAAATTTTTCAAATCTAGTTTCATGTACCTATCCAGGGTTAGGTTGGGAATAGCTATTGATACAATTAGAAAAGTAAAATGAACTATTTGCTATAATAATAAAATAGCTTACTTTACGATTAGACTATCATTTACTCCATTTTAATATCTTCTTAAAACTGTTATCTTTCAGTATAATTTGAACTACACACAACCTCCCTGGACAAGACATTGAACCATTTTTGCTTCCAAGGGATTTATTTGTCCCTTGATAACCTGAGGGGAGAAAGTTGTAAACATCCATGACCAAAGAATGACAGCTCATGTTGTCACAGTCTTCTTGGCATGTTCTATAATGAAGTGCATCCCTGTCCACGTCTGCAAAGAATATCCACCAACACAATGCTTGTTCTTTTTGCCGCGCAGCCAGAGACAGGATACAATTAATTGCTGGTACTTTCAAACTTGGTGGGACTTCTTCTTGGGGTCCGCCAGGATAACTGCACCCAAACAGGCGACAGCTGAAGAAAAAAAAAAAGTGCCTTTTTGGTATGTTGCATTTTAGTTTTTTTTTTTTTTTTTAAATTTATTTATTTATTAAGGATTTCTGCCTCGTCCCCACAACCGCTTCCCATTTCCCTCCCCCTCCCCCGATCAATTCCCCCTCCCTCATCTGCTCGAAGAGCAATCAGGGTTCCCTGACCTGTGGGAAGCCCAAGGACTGCCCACCTCTATCCAGGTCTCGTAAGGTGAGCATCCAAACTGCCTAGGCTCCCACAAAGCCAGTACGTGCAGTAGGATCAAAAACCCACTGCAATTGTTCTTGAATTCTCAGTATTCCTCATTGTCCGCTATGTTCAGCTAGTCCGGATTTATCCCATGTTTTTTCAGACCTAGGCCAGCTGGCCTTGGTGAGATCCCAATAGAACATCCCCATTGTCTTAGTGTGTGGGTGCACCCCTCGTGGTCCTGAGTTCCTTGCTCGTGCTCCGTCTCCTTCTGCTCCTGATTTGGTGCATTTTAGTTTACTCAGCGCTGAAAAGCAGATCACTCCTGCACCTTTCTTACAGGACAGTGCATGGAAAGGCGCCCCCGCCCCAAACCTCCCACCACCTCCCACCTCCGCAGCGCCCGCCCCTTGCTCACAGATGCCGAGGAACATCTGCGTTATGGGGCCTGGTCGCATTGGGAGTTCCCGATTCATGGACCTCAGGCCCAGCACGTAGACGTAGAGGCCAGCCCCGAAGAGCGCAGACCCAGAAAGCCAGCGACAGCTCTGGCAGTTTTGAGAAGAGGAATCCTGTGCGACGGAAGCTGGCGCGGCGGGTTTCCCAGGTGGGATCGCGGGGGAAGGCCTGGGATATTCGACGTGATAGGACAAGGAGGACCCCATGTCCGAAGAGAGCACCTCCGCCGAGCCTCAGCTTTCAACTGGCGTAAAATGCTGCCGGAAAGTAGGACGCTGACCATAGCACCTCAGTGCTTCTGGGAAATGTAGTTTCGCCACGCAAGGATGCGGGCGGAACAGGGCGGAGCTGCCGCTGCCCCAGAAAGTTTTAGAGATTGAAACCTCCGAAAGTGCAGGCAACGTCAGCCTGGTGTTTTAGACTACTTTCTGAAAGTCTAGATTTCAGTCTCTAAGAAGTAGAAATATAGATCTGTAAGTTTCCTCACTAACACAAACTAGGGTCCTGACATGAGGTCTAAGAATCAAAGACTACATTTAATACGTTCTTATCCAAGGGCTTACCTACAGCAATTTTGTGCATTCTGCCGTTTCTTTTTCTTTCTTCTTCTTTGTTTTTTCTTTTTCTTTCTTTCTTTCTTTTTCTTGTATTGTTTTTTTTTTGTTTTTGTTTTTTTTTGTTTTTTTTTTTTTGTTTTTTTTTTTGATACAGGGTTTCGCTGTGTAGCTCTGGCGGTCCTGGAACTAGCACTCGTAGATCAGCTCACAGAGATCCACCTGTCCCTGCCTCCCAAGAGCTGGGATTAAAGGCATGTGCCACCACTACCTGGTCTACACGCTGGTTTTCTCTAGAACAAAACTGCTAAGTGTGACAGAAATAGTTATGAACCGCTCTTTTTAGACCAGTGGAGGCTCAAAGTTTTCAAAGTGTACATACTGTGAAAGAAATATACAGATATCATCAAGATATTAAAAATGTGGTGTGGCTCCAAAACTACAGAGAAACACTATCTCGAAACCTACCCCCTCTCAAAAATGTTTGAATTCCCTGGATACTTTCAATCTCTCTGTGTTTATTAAAGATGTGCTGTCAAATTCATTATTTTGGTTTTGTTCAAGAGAAAATTCAGTACAAACCAAGTTATTGACACCAGGAGAAAGATTGTTTCTACAGTTCTGCATTTTTATCATCCAGTCAGAATGAATTTTAAAGGGTTGAGGAGTTGCCTCTGTGGCTAAAGTGTTTGTTCGGCAAGGAGGAAATATAAATTCAGACACCCAGAGCCCACAGAATGCTGGGTGGGCATGACAGCACACCTGTAAAACTACAAATCATAAGATATTACCTAGCTCAATTATCCCCGACTTTGAGCTCTGTATTCAGTTGATAGTCCTTGCCTTAAGATATAACATGAAAAGCAATACATGCACATCACACATATGCAAAACAAATGATTGTATCATTCTGACTGTATCTTTGAAAATCAACAGTTATCACCCATTCCTGTCCCAGCTCCCCTTTCTTTTCTCTGCTTTCAATAGGCTATCCATCTTTTGTCCTAGTTCATCTCAGGGGGTTATTTGTACAAAATAAAGTCTTAAGTAGGAATTTCCTCTGAATCGCCACCTTCTAACCTGAAGGGAGGATTCTAAAGACTTGGGAAATAAGCCAAATATACAAGGCTCAGGAAAGAACATTCACAAGGCCAACCTAAGGTTATATGTGCTATAAAAATTGCCTGGGAGAGGAGAATCTGACCAACAGAGTTGACTTACAAATTGAGCAAAGAGCTCCAGAGGCACAGCCTTTGTAAATAATTCTCACACTGGGTGACCCTTGTAGCGATACAGCTCCCTTTGAGTCACCCATGCTTCTGGAAGCAACTCAGTAAATTTACTGTTCACTAAGCTCAGCAGTAGTGGTGTGTTCATCAGTGTCTTGTCTAGGATGAACACTTGTTTGTTCTTATCTCCCAGGAAGAGTCACAGGAGAGCAATGCATTTTAGAGTTCAGGTGGTTTCTTTTAGAGGAAATGGATAAAAATACAGTAACAGGTTTAAAAAGATTATTCATTCTGATTACCATTTAAAATGTATGTGTTAATAATGAATTTACTATTTAAAACTTTCTAAAATGAAATGTGATGTTTAGGAAGACTGAAAATGGAAAAAAATAAGGATGAGATATGTTTCTGCCAATGCAAAATGTTAGATCAGACCACATTAAAAAAACAGATAAATGCAGATTTATTGGGCATAACTCCTTGGTGGATTCACAGGTCCCAAAGAACAAGGCCAGAGAAGTCACACACCTAAACTAAGGCAGAGAACTTTTATCAACCTTAAGCAAGGGGTGTTGACACGCCAGCCAGAAGCTAAGTCCCTTGGTTTGTACATTGGTGCCATTCCCTTTTTCAGAGTTTTCTCAGTGTGGGTGGGGTTGGGGGAAGTAGGGTAGATGGGGTTTTCCAGCTTATGAAAGAGGGAGCAGGGGTTTCAACTATACAATGTGAATGAATAGATCACAAAATTGTGAGAAAACTGGACTGACTTGCTGTTTAATAAGTTTCTAGCCATAAACAAAGGACATTGAGCCTATAATTAGTGATCCTAGAGAAGCTAAATAAGGAGAACCCAAGGAAAAACATATAAGCATCCTCCTGAATATTAACCTTCATCAGGCGATAAAAGGAGACAGAGACAGAGACCCACATTGGAGCACCGGACTGAAATCTCAAGGTCCAAATAAGGAGCAGAAGGAGAGAGAGCACGAGCAAGGAACACAGGACCGAGAGGGGTGCACCCACAAACTGAAACAATAGGGATGTTCTATCGGGAACTCACCAAGGCCAACTGGCCTGGATCTGAAAAAGCCTGGGATAAAACCGGACTCGCTGAACGTAGTGGAAAATGAGGACTACTGAGAACTCAAGAACAATGGCAATGGGTTTTTGATCCTACTGCACGTACTGGCTTTGTGGGAGCCTAGGCAGTTTGGATGCTCACCTTACTAGACCTGGATGGAGGTGGGTGGTCCTTGGACTTCCCACAGGGCAGGGAACCCTGATTGCTCTTTGGGCTGACGAGGGAGAGGGACTTGATTGGAGGAGGGGGAGGGAAATGGGAGGCGGTAGCGGGGAAGAGACAGAAATCTTTAATAAATAAATAAATTAAAAAATAAAAAAAGACTCTTACCTATGTTTTAAAACTACTTTTACCACTTTTTTAAATTAACAGGGAAGTTTTTGGTAATGAATTACATGCTCTCTGGTAATATTTTTCTGAATACCAACTAGAATCAGTCATTTATTTTCAAATTATTTCAAACCTTATTTTCTTTATTGTACCTTTATCTCCTTTTGATTCCTTTAAAAATTAAGTATCATCAAAAAGATTTTCTATAGCAACAAGGAAAACAGATTTATCAGAATAGGATTAGAAATTAGTCCTAAGCCAACTAGGAGTATCTCCAAAATGCAGGGGGTGGTATGTGAATTCATAAAACCTCCTTATCTCATTAGTGGGTGACATGGGTAACTTTGAAGAGACTTCATGATTCAGCGTTTTGATATTATTCTACCAAGAGATCAACTGCTTCCCATGCATGTGTCTCCTTGATTTTTCCTGTTGATGTCTTTTTTTCCTTCAAAGAGCAGAATTGGATTTTGTGATCTTGTTTTCCAGCTTGAACTGCCTTTACCTTCAAAATCTGTACTTTTCTTATTATCACTTGAACTGAAAAGCCTTTGTCTGATGTCTCTTCTGACCAACCCAGGCTTGTGTGATCACCATACCACTGGTGATCTCATATGTACTTCATGCAATATGGTATCATTTTGATTTCATTACCTGATAATTAGAATGAACAGACACTCTTCTGGAAATATATAGAAAATTAAATGAGTCTTTATTGTATTTGAAAATGCAAAGCTATTTATTGCTATTGTGTATAGCTAATTTTAACTGAGAGTTCTACTGGTAGAGAGCAATTAGAAATATAAGAGAAATGAGAAAGATCAAGTGAGTTGTCTTTATAAACAGAGACTATGCTTTGGTTTCCTGGCTATCTAGACCTGAATAATCACACAGAATTTATATTAATTCTAACACTGTTTGGCCAATGACTCAACCATATTTCTAGCTAGCTTATACATCTTAATTTAATCCATTTCTATTAATTTCTATATCACCATGATGCTGTGGCTTACAGGGTAAGATTCCAGTGTGTGTCTCTTTCGGCAGCTACATGGTGTCTCTTTGACTCCGCCTACGCTCCCTTTATCTCTGTTCGGATTTCCTGCTAAGCCATTGACCGAAACAGATTTATTCATTATCCAATAAAAGCAACACATATACAGAAAGACAACCCACATCATGTCTTGGTTACTGTTTTGGTGCTATGAAGAGACACCACAACCAAGTCAATTTATAAAGTAAGGCATTTAATTGAGAACTTGCTTACAGTTTTAGAGAATAATCCATGGTCACCATGGCAGAGAATATGATGGCAGACTGGAAGTAATAATGCTGGAAGACTACATGGAGCAATAAATAGCTTTGGTACTCAGTTGGTGGACAGTTTAGGAAGAGTTAGGATGTGTGGACTTTTTGGATAAGGTATGTCACTAGATGTGGGATTTGAGATTTAAAACACCAATGACACGACCAATGTTGTTTATCTGCCTGTACCAAATGTTGAAATATATGATCCTATAGTGGCCATTCTCATTCAAACCACCACATAGGGGAAAAAGCAAGTAAAATGTACAGTTTTAAAAGAAAACAGAGCACCAGGAAATTTAATGTTGGAACCAAAGCTTGTGCTGAAAGAGATAATGCTAGCCTGTATGAATTGGAATAAAGGGAATAGTGTCCTAATGGAAAGACCTCACCCAAGTAAGCTTCCAACTTGTAAAATATTGGAAGGAAAGACCTAAGTAATTATCTTTTCCTAAAAAGAAGCAACAAAGGAAAATTTATGCAAGTGTAATTGAAGATAGGGGCCAAGTTCCATTTAAGGTGACAACTGAACTGGGCAGCAGTAGTCATGTGATCCTGGCTCCAGAGTCACAAAGGAAACATGAATGATTGGGTCATAGAATCTTCTTCTGTAAGTAAGGTGAGTCTCTGTGATGGTTTGAATGAAAATGGCCCCCATCATCCCATAAGGAGTGATACTACTAATAGTGTGACTTTGTTGGAGTAGATTTGGCTTGGTTGAAAGAAGTGTGTCACTAGTGGTGGGCTTCCAGCATTGTTATGATA